CAATAGGAAAAAATGCATATTTTATTATAATTAATATTTTTTAATCCATAATATAATGAATTTATCAATAAATTACACGAATAATTTTAACCCGTTTTTGCTCCCAAGTCACTTATCCCACTTTTGCTCCCAATGTTATTTTAAATCATTTTTACTATCAGCCTCTCAATTATAATTTTTAATTGTCGTTCGCGCTATATATGTTTTTGTAAATTACCGCGAAAATTTCCATAAATTACCAAAATTATAATTTTTAATTGTGATTTATGCTTTACATATTTTTATGAATTTTAGACCAAATTTCTATAAATTACCGCATAAATTTCCATAAATTACCTCGAAAAATTCCGTAAATTACCGAAATAAAAAATTTTAATTGTCGTTCGCGCTATATATATTTTTATGAATTACCCCAAAAATTCCCATAAACATTTTAAATCAAATTTTAACTATTTTATAGAATTCAAAAAACAAAGAATTTTTTTCTAATTTGTTTAAAAAAATTATAAAAAATTTTTTCGGCCCACCCTGGATATTTATTTCTTGACATTTTATTTTCAAAAATATGTATTGATATTTATCATTTCGATAAAAAAATATTTTTAAAGTTTCAGACACTAAATCGTGCGCTACGCGGATAATCACCCATTATAGAGAAAAATTTGTTTCCGCCACTTTGAAAATTTTTATAAACGAAAGGACTACAAAGCTTCCTCCACGAGAAAGCAAAAAATAATTATATAATATAATTATATGTGGACGTCAAAATGAAAAGGTACCACTTTGTCGGTTCTAGATTCCGAGATAATCGCGATTTACTAATTTCGAAGGAAAAAATCGAATTTTTTTTTATTTTTTTTATTAATCTACAGGGTCTTACCTGTCGAATTATGTAGTTTTCATAAATTTATTGCTACTTTAAGTATTTTATTTCATCGTTTGAAAAAAAAGAGAAAAGGTACCACATTGTCGGTCTAATGCGAAATTTATGAATTTCTGTTGTTTCCGGCATATTATTGCAACACTTTGGCTGGAAATATATTTTAACATGCTATGATTTTCATCATTAGGGTCTTTTTAAACTAAAACAACTCTCATCTGAATAACTTCCCAAAAAAACCAAAGACATTCGCATTATAGTCTTTAATTTCTTTTTTTTTAAATGAAAATTTCGATATTTCTTAAGATTATTTTTAATAAAGTCAATTAAAAATTTTTTTTTGGTCTACTTTCTCTTTTTTCTTCTTCAAATAACTCAATAAAGTAACACACAACTATTCACTTCGTAAAAAATTCGGTTTATTAATTAAAAATCGCATTTTTAGAAAAGGTACCACTTTGTCGGTTATACGTTATTTTCGAGGTTATTTTAAAAATGGAGGGGGGGAAAAATTCTAAACCTATTGATTTTTCATCTTTAAGGTGTTCTTGAATTAAAACAACTCTCATCTGAATAACTTCCCAGAAGAATCAGAGATATTTGAATTTCAATCTTTGATTTCGTTTTTCTCGAAATGGTGTTTTGGGCACTCTGAACTTTAAAATTCTGTAACTCAGCGAATTTTGCACCAAAATGGACGTAAGACCCCTCAAAATTTTCCAAATTTAACAAGGAATTTGACCATATAGATAAGTCCAATAGTGCCAAAGTGGTACCTTTTCATTTGGACGTCCACATATATAATATTATACTATATAATTATATAGTTATACAAGAAAGTAATGCTGTCAAATTAATTTTTGTATCAATAAACATTAATGAACATGAAGAAAATTAATTCCTAACTCGCTACAACTAGTGCTACTACATTTTCACATACACACAAACACACACTATTGAAGTGTACGCGCTAAGTTTGTATACGCCTCTCTCTATTACGGCAGAGTTCGGTAACACTGGTCGACACCAGAAAAGATTCAAGAATCGGACCATGATATTCTGATAGATCAAAAAGTACACATCACGTCGAGATTTTGAGAAAAATGAACTCAAAATGAAACCCTGTTTCATCCCCTTTTTGATCACATGTTGAAAGTGATCCAGAGGTGCTAGAAGTCTCTCCTTACGCTTAAATTAAAGCCTGAACCTTCATTTAATAGAAGTAAATTAAAAAAATCTACTTATTTATAATTTTTAGTTATTGAATTTACTGTTTTTTGGGGTCGCTGAATACAAATATAAGATCAAAATTAGAAAATTCAAAATGACGGATCCAAAATATCGGACATGGAATTTTAAAAATTAATGAATTTGATTGAAACTTTAAACAAAATTTTATGTCCGCCATTTTGAATTTTCTAATTTTGACCTCATGTTTGTATTCAGCGACTCCAAAATCAGTAAATTCAATAACTAAAAATTATAAATAAGTATGCCTCTGTATACCACTGAATAGGTGTATGTAGTGTGCGCGCGCTAATAAAAAAGTGATACATGAATCTAAAATCAATTTTTGAAAATTAAAAATGGCGTGTTCAATATGGCGGACAAATTTTAATAATTTGATAGGATTCGTTTGAAACTCGTTACTTGGAGATTTTCGGGGTCGATGATTACGAATCTTAAATCCATTTTTAAAAAATCAAAATGGACGATAAAATATGTCGTACAAATTTTAAAACATTTATCGGATTCGTTTGAAATTCGTTACTTTGGGGTTTTCGGAGTCGGTGATTACAAATACGGTGTTAGTTTTTTAAAATTCAAAATGAACGATCTAATATGGCGAACAAATTATAAAAACTTTAACAAATTCGTTTATACATCGTTACTCTAGGGTTTTTGTGGTATCAGGAATGAAAAGAAATTAAAAATCTATGCTATAATTACCAATTTAGTTTGTAAGTGTTTATCAATGCGAAATGAAAAATATTACAAAACAATTTTTAATATTGAATACATTTTTAATTTTTAAAAATTGACTTTAAAGTTGTAAGCAACGAATTAGCAAACCCTGAGTAACAAGTTTCAAATTTGAATTTTAAAAAAATAACGTTGGATTCGTAATCAGTGACCCCGAAAACACCCGAGTAGAAAGTTTCAAGCAACTTGAACGATTTTTAAAAAAAGTCGGTCATATTGGATCCGCCATTTTCAATATTTAAAAACGGATTTCAGATTCGTAATTAGCGACCCCAAAAACTCTTAAGGGTACAGAGATCTGTAAACTTTGTTGAATAGAAAAATATATAATATGACTGAAAGGGTTAAGTAACTCTATTTTCTGCTTTTATGTTAAGTCTTTATATCAATCTTTCAAATTCTGTTTCTCATAGAAATGTTTTTAATTATGAAATTTTTATAAAATATTTTATATTCTCCTTTAATATAATTATACTGTGCTCGAAAAAGGTACTTTTTTTAACAAACTTATCAGATAGAGTATTAACCTAATTTGGCTACGCTGAATTCAATGGCTTTAGCCGTTCTTTAAGAGCGGGTCAAATTTTTTAAATAATCGCCTTTTTTATTTTTTTGGTCCATTATCAAAATACATTTTTCCTAATCAAAAAGAACAAAAGTGACTTAAAACTCGTTTCAAAATTCAAAATGGCGGATCCAGTATGGCAGACTTTTTTCAAAAATCGTTCAAATTTGATGAAAACTTTCTACTCAGGGGTTTTCGGGGGCGCTGAAGTCGAATGCAGTGTCAGTTTTTTAAAATTCAAAATGGCTGATCCAATTAGGCGGATAAATTTATTACAAATTAAAGTATTTTACTTTTTAAACTCATTTCTCAGAGGTTTTTGGAGTCGCTGATTACAAATCCGGTGAAAACGACTCCAAAAAACTACCAAATAGTTAGTTTCCAGTAAATTCAATGTATTGTATATTTAGAAGAAATTCATTTACCGTATTACATTTGAAACTCTTGAAAATTACTTAAAGATTTCTAAACAGCGTGCTTTTCCTATCATAATCGCCAAAAAGAGAACGCAAAGAGTCACGCAATTTTTTTTCCTTTTCGACCCTCTCCCCTCTGGCTGCGTAACGTATTACATATGAGCACAGCCCCCTATATAAATTTCACATTTGACCAATGAGTCGTTAACGGGAGATTCCTATTGAGACAGCAAAAATCAACACAAATTTTGACAATTTTTTTCAGGGAACGGTTATGACTTAGTGATGTTGATTTATTTTTTTTAAGAAAGGTACATTCTTCAACTTTTAAAACATATATTTTATTTTCCAAAAATTTTAAAATGGCGACCAATATATTCGTCGCTGATTACGAATATGATGTCAGATTTTCAAAACTCAAAATAGCTGATCCAATATAGCGGTCGACTTTCGACCTTAGTGGCACTTAGTTTCGGAACGTCGATGAGTTCAAAACGCTGTAGAAACGAAAATATTCTTCAGATCAAAAAATCGCTTTACACACATATTCCACACATATGTAGCTTTCAAAAAATGCATTAAATAAAAAATCGATTTTTTTACTCCCGCAATGGGTTCCGCCCCTTAATCAAAATAAAAATTCACCGAATTTTTATTTGTCTTAATAAACAATTGATACCCATGTAGCACGTAATATTACAGTCATAATAAAATGTCAGCCTCATCGTAGGGGAAAGTGGGGAGTTGTACTCCGAGTTTTGTTTTTCAATCAAAATTATTATATAATGTTTTTTACTATTCTATTATATAGAACTTTTAGGAAACGTAGTGTACTAATATTACTATAATATTATTGTAATATTACGTGCTACTTGAGACGCTTCAAAAGCAATTATATTACTTGCCATTTCGAAAAATGAAAACTCATGTAAAAAATAATTATATGAAGTAGTAATTCACATGATAATTTATTTAAATCTGGCTATAAATATGGTGTTTTTATTAAAATGAAGCATATTTTTTATAAAAAATTATATTCGTTGAGAATATCAGTTTCCATTCCACTGCTACTTGAATGCCAATACTGAAAAGAAATCTGGTTATTATTATTTAATTATAATTTTTAAACAAAGTTTTTTTTATTACTTTTATTCTTTCACTTCCTCCTCTGTCTTTCTTCCTCATCTCCCTCATCCTCTCTCTCCTCTTCATCCACTCTCTCCTCTGCATCCACTCTCTCCTCTTCATCCAATCTCTCCTCTTCATCCAATCTCTCCTCTTCATCCAATCTCTCCTCTTCATCCACTCTCTCCTCTTCATCCACTTCCTCTTCATCTACTCCCTCTTCCTCCTCTTCTTCATTCTCTTTTTCCTGTTCCTCTGATAGTTCTTTACAAAAATCTCTGCAATGAAAAACAATATATGTTTAATATTTTTTCAATAATGCGACAAATGATTAGCATTCTTTTTTGGTAAAACTTCTGAATTATGAAATTTGTATAAATTTACATTTTGTTGCATTTTTTAAATTAAGTATTGTTATAATTAAATGAATATTGTTATAACTTACTTATCACGTCTGCAGTTAACTGCTTTGTGAACCCACGTATTAAAATTATCTTCATAATATGTCTCGTCCACGCCATGGATTGTATAATCCTCATTTCTTTGTATTTTTTTTACGACACCTAGATAATGAATAATTCTTTATAATTCAAATGTGATAGAATTTTATTACTTAGAAATAACTTAGCCAAAATTATATTTTGTCGAATTTGTATTTAACATTATTTTTATTTAACCGATTTTCAATAACAGTCAATAACTAAAAATTTCTGTCTAATTCCCGGTTTTCCTGGTGTATGGGTGTGACTGCATATTTACGCAGTGGAGTTTTTATAAAAAACAAAGTGTTTAATACATACGTCTGATATTGTCGTAATCTTTATATTGGATTTTAATCCAATTTTTCTTGGATACCCCCAATGGCTTTTTGTTACCCACAAATTGAATTTTATTAGGAGGCCAGTAGCCAGAGGCAATTTTGCGAACTCTGGCACTGATAGTTTTCGCATCCAAGGCTTCATTAAATGCGTCTTTACAAATTTGGACTCCAGCACAAGTAACCTAGAAATATTTTAAATAATTGTTTCAATTAGTATTGTCTCATATTGAAAATAGCGTCAAATTTTTTCCAAACACTAAAGGAACATTCACAAATTAGATTCATCCTGTTGATATAATTTCGATAATTCCAACCTCTAAATCGCAGGCTATTTAATCAGACTTTAAAATTAAGAGGTTTTAAATAAGAATATGGTCATTTCTTAAAAATAACTTTCAGTATCTTAAATACCACTATTACTGGGATTTTAATCATGAACCCTTAAGGTACATTCTTAATTTAAATTAATAACAAGTTATTAATGAAATAACAAACTTTGCAGTGGTTAGTTAGAACAAAATAGTAACATACTGTTTATAATAATATGTGTGAATGTTTAAAGTTAAATCAAAACCATTAAAAAAAAATACGTACGGACTTCTTGAAACATTAATATTTAAAATTTCTAGGCAACTTTAAGTAACGAAATTTAGGCAAAAATAAGCACTTTTCCTGCAAATCGATGCCATTTCGCGAAAAATGAATTTTTTTTAAAAACTGAATACGTATTTTGCTAGATTTTGAGCTGCAGAAAGTAAATTTTTTTTTATCTAACTCAAATCTGGACCGAGTTATAGTGCCCACCGCACAGCGATACATTTTTGAAGCATTCCGTCATATCATCTGTCAGACCGACATTTTTGAAGAAAAAATGTTTTTGTAGTTCTAGAGTAGTATAATTCCAAACTGTATTTTGAATTTTTTAAAAAAATCTATTCTTCAATAAAAATGGTTGAAATAGCGTATTTTTTGGTAGGGTCAAATTACGCGGACATTTTTTTAAGTTCACGATATTCGCTTTGAAACTTGTTATTCGGGGGTTTTCGGGTCGCTGATTACGAATCTTTAGTCAAATTTTGAAACTTTCAAAATTCAAAATGGCGGATCCAATATGTCGGAGATATTTTTTATGAAGTCAAAGTTTTTCGCTTGGAATTTCTTAAACAGGGGTTTTTGTGGTCGCTGATTACGAATCGGAAGTCAAAATTTTAAAAATTCCTAAAATTCACAATGGCGGATTTAAGATGTCGGACAATTTATTTTAAATTCACTATATTTGCTTGAAACTTGTTCCTCGGGGGTTTTCAGGGTCGCTGATTACGAACCCGAAATTTTTTTGAATTTTTTAAAAACTAATATAATTTACGGCAACTTATTACTGAAGGATTTTCAAGGTCGCTAATTACGAATCTGACATTAAATTCGTAATAAGCGACACCGTAAACCCCCGAGTAACAAGTTTCAAACTAATATAGTGAATTTTAAGAAAATTGTTGGCCAACTTGGATCCGCTGTTTTGAATTTTGAAAGACGGACACCGGATTCGTATTCAGCGATCTAAAAAACGCCTATAAAAAAGTTTTATTAAAATTCAAGAAAATTTTTTCATTTGCATTTTAGACTCTTTCTTCAAAATTAAAACCGTAGCTAAGAGGTTAAAAATACAAATTAAATGTATATTTGTATACTGACTCGGAAAATAGTGCAGTCAGTTTTTTAGCTGATGTGTCATTGGTCGATACTTAAAAAAAAAAGTAAAATAAAGTTGGTTATGTTTTTGTTTATTAAGTGTCAGTGATGAAAAACTTTTTTTAGGTTAATTATTTTTTGTATAAATTATAGTTAAATAAGTATAATTGTTTCATCGCAATGTTTTATAATATTTTGATCTGAAAAATAAATATTTATTCGATTTTGTAAATACTGGTAAAGGTTAATTCATTAAGTGTCAAGTTATATGTTAAGAAATTCCATACAATCGAGAATTGGAACCGAACCTCAAGAAATTGGTATACGTCCATCGACAAAGGGTGATTATCCTTAATTGACGTTTAAAAACAATTTTTATCTTGCACTATAAGTTATTTTAGAAAAATAATTATGAATATTAAACATTCCCGTGCAGAAATTGCCAGTTTTCATACCGATTACCGACCTGGCCTCGATCCTATTTCCTGTTCTGGCTCCGGGTTAGTAAATCATTATGGGCCCGACCAGAACCAGGCCTGGTTGTTGCCATATTTAAAATTTTTTTAAAAATAGTAAAAATACATTTATAACATTTTGTGACATTTTTTACACTCTAAATCTGAATTAGTAAAAATGTTTACTAATTTGAAGTAGTGACTTACTTTTTGCTTATGAATTAGTAAAATTTGACTAATTCTAATGCAAAAAGTGAGTCCCTCTTAAATTTTACGAATTGTTAGTAAAAGTTACTAATAATTAGTAAAATTTGACTAATTCATAAGCAAAAAGTTAGTCACTAATTTAAATTAGTAAACATTTTTACTAATACAGATTTAGAGAGTAAACGATACAATTATTCAAATAATTTTTTCAACTTACATTTCCTTTTCATTTTATAAGGTGTTTTTTTAAATGCAGATTCATAAAATAAAATAATATTGATTAATTCTATTGTTTTATTTATCAATTAGAGAAAAATAATTATAATTTATTGAAAATTACAATTACTATAAGATCGGGCAAATTACCATGACCTTGGTCGGGTTGCGACCAGGATTCCAGATCGGTCAAATTGGCATGGCCCCGGTCAGGTTCCCTGTTTCATTTCGATCGGGACCAGATCAGATTGACAGATTTGACCCATATCGTGCCTGGTCTCGACCCAACCAGGGCCAGGTCAAATTTTCAGCACGGGTTATTAAATTTTTTGTCCAAGTGCACAAAATTAAAGCATTTTTTTTGCATTTTTTCAAAATGAATGTATCTAATATTTCAAGAATATTGTACTTCTTGCCTTACTTCCCTAGGTAACTACAAAAGCTTTTTTTAATAATTATTAATTATACAGTAAAAAGTAGATCGATTTTATAAGTGAAAATCGGGTTTTTGGGTTTCAAATGCTACGAAAAATAAAAAGTACCCTTTCGTAGCTACCTCGAATTAACCATACCCTCCTTAACAAACTTGATTATTACCTTAAAAAAAATTTATCGTAATTCTATCAAGGTGTCCAACCTAAGTGTTTATAAATAGAATGGTATGTGTTTAATTTTAAATTTTGTAGCGAAAAAAATAAATTGATTGCATACGTTATTTGAGTCACTATTCTGCGCAGATGTCTGTTTCTTCTTTTTCGTCAATAAGCCTTCCCTCATATTCTGTAATTCTTTTAAAATTTGACTTTCTTTTTGGTTTTTTAGAATATTCAATTCTTCTTTTAAACGGTGGTTTTCCGCTTTTAAAACTGCGTTTTCTGCTGATAATTTCATATATTTTGTATTTAATATTTTATTTAACTTCCTTGTTTTAGGACACGTGTTGCACTTTTCCACCTTCAAACAGAAGTGTATTAGATAACAAGGATACATAAAAATATCTTACAAAAGTAAAAAAAGAAACTATAAAATAAAAACAGGTATTTTAAAGAGATTTTTAAAAAACTATGTATCAGGTACAAAGACCTACACAAGAAAACTGATTAAAATGTAGTGTGAAGGAAATATAGAATATCAGTTTCATTAAGTTTCATTTCATTAATAAGTTAAGGTTGGCGAGGAGGAACTTTAGAGTATATTTTGTATAAATGATTTGATTTTAAATCATAATATGACCTGCTTTACGCAAAAAGACCTTACGTGGGAAAACAACTTTTCGAGACAATAGCTGATAAAGCTCAAACCGAGGGGCTGTTCACTGAAAATCCAATTGAACAATATTGGAGAATTCATTAAAGATTTTTAGGACTCGTACGTATTCGGCTTCGGATTCGAATGGAATCGCACGGACTCGTTGATATTCACAGTATTTTCACAAATTCCTTCTTTGCGCTGCTTCGTGTTGCAGACTAGATAATAATAATAATAATAATAATAATAATAATAATAATAATAATAATAATAATCGGCTGCCGCCGAATTCGCTCGTATTTCTCCGTAACCATTCGTGACTCGCAACAATTCTTACTGCATGACTTAGGATTTTACTGTAATCGACGAGATTTGTTGGATTCGCATAGTATTCGACAAATTCGAACGTCCTTTTCAGTAATCGCCGGTAATCTCCACTTAAAATACAATTTATTCAGAATCAAGAAATTTATATTTTCTTATGTTAATTGATGAATATTCGGAAGATACCTAGTATATTCTCTACATTACAAATCGGGTATTTGAGAGTGAACAGCCCCTCGGCTCAAACAGACACTTTTTTCGTGTTTGCCCACTTTTATATTAAGGGGTTAGTACTACATCTCAGTGACTTTTCTTAAATATTTTTCATTTATTACAAAATTTATTTTATTTACTTCAAACTATTTATACCTAAAAGAAGGGGTTTTAAACTATTTTAAAAAAATTTTATTCCTTATTTATTATTGATTATCATGCTGTCTTGGGCGCCTGAAAATACCCCTGCTTGTGATTGGCGGACACGATATTTCCAATTGAGGTCATCGAAAAATGAAATTTTTAATATTTTCTAGAAAAGTAAGCACTTTGCTATCGTCGGAACTACAATCAACAAGTTTCGTTGAAAAGAAACAAAATGGCGGCCTTTTTTCATTTTTGACCTTGTTTTTTCAACTTAAATTGTTTAAAAAACGGTTAAATATTAATGAAAAAGTATGATTCTAGTTCCGACGATAGCGGTCTATGTGTAGATTAACCCATAAAAATTTGAGCTAAATCGCTGCAATAGTTTTTCTTTTATGATGTCCGCCAGGTCAAAAAACATAGTTTTGAAAAAAAGCAAATTTACGAAAACATGTCCTTTTTGAAGAAAATAACCCCTTATGCGACAAGACACATAATATATATACTTTTATGAACATATATATATATGGCTCAAAATTTCTGAAGTGAGCCACTAATTTTTCGATGGCGAGATTTTTATAAGTCAGATCAATAATTTTATAGTATTTTCGAATCAAAATAAGATCCTAAAGTTATATTGCAAAATTTTAATTTTTTTAAGAGTTATTGTTTAAACAATTTTTAAGCAGCCAATTAGTAAAAAAAGCTTTTCTACGGTTCCATTTGATGGATTTTGCTGAAATTTGGTATGAATAATGTACAATAACCATGCTTTCAAATAAAAAAAATTTGTTTCATTTTGTTCATAATTTGTTGAAAATAGCAACAATTATTATAAACAAATGAAAATTTAATAACCTTCTGCGCCTAATTTCGTATTTTTTCTTGTAAATTATGATTCCCTATTTTATCACGAGTATTTTAAAAAAAAAAAAAGTCAGTATATTGCATTAGGTCAAAAGTTATGGTACTTTTTCTCTTGACGCTCAGTGCCCTATTGACGCGCCAATATCATAGTTACTGACTCGCTATCCTCAAGACCGCGTACTGCGTCCAAATTTAACATGTTACATTAACAAATTTCCGTTAATAAATATACTTTATGATGCAATATTTTTTGTTTATTGCAAAAAATAATTTTTATTAAATAAATTCAACATACATATATAAACAATAAAAAATTTAAACATCTTCATTGCATGCGACAAAATTGTTTTGCATTATTTGAAAATCTAAGATTTTAATAAATGTTTAATATTTCTAAAGTTACATTGCAGATTGAAGAAAATATTATCTGAGAAGAGAAATTTTGAAATAAACGTAATCGTTTTATTTCAATGTTGTGTTTACAATATTTTAAAAAAATAGGGCCTACCAAAAAAATATTTAAAATTAAAACAATGATTTAACAATGTTATTATTTTCAGAATTATATTATTTGGTATTCGCCAGTTTCTACTTTAAGCAAGCTTAACCGTGACTGCTTCCTTTTGACCAGAAAAAATTTTACACAATAATGTGTTGTTTTTTCCTGGCTGATAGCAATGAAATGATCGTGTTTGGTTAATTGTTTTAGCAGTTGAAAATCGTAACTCTAAACTTTTTCTATGATTTTCAAGCTCTTCATTCGAACACAGGCAAAAATGAATTTTTTTAAAAAATCCTCTTGCCCACTCGTACAATTGTTTTGGAGTTGTCAAAAGAAGATTAGTGTCTTTTTGCAGGGATGTGAAATATGCATGCCTTTTGACCGTGCCTCCTACTCCGTCGCAAGCGCCTTTGCCGTGGGCGGTTGCAAAAAAGTGCCACTCTGCATCAATTCCGAAATCATTTTTATGATTAGCCAAATTTAACAAATTATATTTGTTTTTATATTGAGACGTAGCTCCATCGGAAAAGTAATAAATTTTTTTTAATTTTTTGGCACCAAATTTTTTTTTTAAATGCTCAATTAATTTCTTGTTGAACAAGTGAACAGCTGTCGAATCGTGTTGCAAATTCTCCGAAAAAATTACAAAGTTTTCGTTTTGTAAATTGCCCTCTTTTTTATAATATGCAACGTGAACATGTAGCGTGACTTGGTCTTTACGCCAATGTTGGGCTTGAATTTCATTTTGTATTTTAAAAGAATAATTTTCTGAAAAATCCTCTGTGACTATGAACTCTCCTTCGCCTATTTTCTCTTTCAATTTTGATAAATGCTCTGCCTGAGATTTAGCTATGAAATCGTGCTTTAAAAGTGCCAATAAATCTGTTGCAAAATTTTCTAAAAAGACCTTCATAGATTCAGTGACGATCGAAAATTGACATCTACAAAAATATGTTTCATATGAATTAATTGTAAATTATTAAGAATGAAAATGTAAAGCATAAAATTATTACCTGTCAGTCGTGAGCCACTGATGAAATGAAATCTCCTTTATGCCCTGATTTATAAAAATTGATTTTATTTCTTGCAAAATTATTTTTGTGCCAGGGCATTTTTTGCATTTTAAAAGAAAACATTCAGAACAAGAATTTTCACAAACAATTTTTTTTAACATATCACAGTAAGAATAAGGATAATCTATTTGTTTCTTAAATAACTCCTGTTTTAGGGCTTGTATTTTTAATCTGATATTTTGGTGCGTTTTGCAAACGCAAACATTGTGGTTGCCTTTTGCTCCAACTAATACGCATTGAGGTGGTCTTAAACTTTGAAATTTCGAGAGAGAAATTTGCACTTCGGAAAATTCCTTCAAAAATCGGGAGTGTAACTCGTTAAGGTTGCCCATCAACAATCGTTTCTATAATAATTTTAAAAATGGATGAAAATCTGGATTAAATTAAAAGAAATTAAAAGATGGATAACTTGAGACCAAACTAAGAAATTTAAATTAATGAAACTATACTCTGTTTTTCCATGATAGGCACTTTCAATTATTATAAACTCAATATTACTCATTTATATTACAGGAAAAATGTTATCAATTATAAAATCTCATCTAAATAAATTTTAAGTTATAAAACTTTAAAGTTTAAAGCCAACAAAAATTGGAATATTTTGCATTTTTTCAGAATACAGTAAACAATTATCCTAATAAAAAATTTAAATTTAAAATTATCTAATGAAAAATTAAATATTAAAAAACTTACTGTTAAATGCTGTCGTTTTCCATCAATTACCACTGATTTGAAATCTTTTCTCCCAGGTAACACACGACTCACTTCGTCAGATAGGTAAAATTGATTTACTTTTTTCTTTATAGATAAGTCCATGGGGTGACCAGGTTTTGGATCAACGTGAGATGCATATCCCTTCTTTAAGCGCAATTGTTTTGCTCTAGCTGCTAAACGACGTGAAACGCTGAACAATTTTGCAGTTTTTCGAACGCTCAAGTCAACTGGAATTGTTGTTAAAAGAAAAATTTTTTCAGATTTTGATGTTTGTTTTGAAATGGCATCTTTCAAGTCATTGACCCACATTTCGTTCAGCTCGTTTTCTAAAGGTTTCTCACCCCTTAATTGAATTTCAATTTTTTCAGACACTTTTAGAAGTTTGTTACGTTCTTCATTGGAAATATCCAGTTTAAATTTTTTGCCAGATGATCTCGTAATCGTTTTCACCAAATCTATTAAATCATCACTTACAATTTTATTGCGAGGTTCTTCTGGAATGTAATTTTTGTCTTTTGAAATGTTGTCTTCATCTTCGTCACTCGATTCAATAATACGTACACTTTCAATTTTTTCAAATTCATTTCCCTGCACAGTGTCAGTTTGCTTATATATCACGGATTTACATGACGTGCAAATATACTTCCCGACAAGATTAGTAAATTTTTTATCAAATTTTTCAGTCACTAAATGAAGGTTTTTCATCACACGTCTATGATTTTTCTTTAACAAGGGGTTGCAGCATACATTTGGTGACGGCATTTTTATTTTTCATGAGAAATAGAAGCAGAGTGTGAAAAATATTTGTGATATAAGGTTATAATTTTCATAAACAATAAACTTTAAAATACTCGTGAACGAATAGGCATTTAAAATACTTACGTATACAAAATATTCTGTACAAATAGAAAAATTATTAAATATTATGCAGATATAATTTTTTATTAGTAAGGGTAATTACAAATAAATATGAATTTAAAAATTAAATTATACACATGCACTCAAAAAAACAGCAAGGTCCAAGAGCGCGCTCGTGTTCTAACGTGTTTCAGCGTATTCGTCCGGCGCGGCGTTCCACTTAGTTCTCGGACCGCGATCACAAATATATTAATAACTTTTGACCTAATGCAATATACTGACTTTTTTTTTTTTTTAAATACTCGTGATAAAATAGGGAATCATAATTGACAAGAAAAAATACGAAATTAGGCGCAGAAGGTTATTAAATTTTCATTTGTTTATAATAATTGTTGCTATTTTCAACAAATTATGAACAAAATGAAACAAATTTTTTTTATTTGAAAGCATGGTTATTGTACATTATTCATACCAAATTTCAGCAAAATCCATCAAATGGAACCGTAGAAAAGCTTTTTTTACTAATTGGCTGCTTAAAAATTGTTTAAACAATAACTCTTAAAAAAATTAAAATTTTGCAATATAACTTTAGGATCTTATTTTGATTCGAAAATACTATAAAATTATTGATATGACTTATAAAAATCTCGCCATCGAAAAATTAGTGGCCCACTTCAGAAATTTTGAGCCATATATGGGACGTTCCACGTCAAAAGAAACAGAGCTCTAGCCAAAAATTGGCTTGATAAAAAAAATCGTTTAAGGGCTGAAAAAACTTGTACACTCTTATACTTTCGAAAGCAGATGGGCGATTTCAGAAATTCAATATGGCGGTGCCTGTAGATGTGATATAAGTCATCAATGTCACGATTTGACAAATACAAACATGAATAAAATTTCCAAAATTAATTAAATTGAATCAAAAAATACACTTTTAAGCATTTTTGGGGTCGCTGAATACGAATCTGAAGTCAGATTTAAAAAATTCAAAATGGCAGATCCAAAATGGTGGTCGATTTTTAAAAATTTAATATTTTACCTCGAAACTTGCTACTTGGGGGTTTTCGGGGTCGTAGAATACGAATCTGAAGTCAGATTTAAAAAATTCAAAATGGCGGATCCAAAATGGTAGTCGATTTTTGTTAAAACTCAATTTTTTTTCTCAAAACTGGTTACTCGGGGGTTTTTTGGGTAGTATAATACGAATCTGAAGTCAGATTTAAAAAATTCAAAATGGCGGATCCAAAATGGTGGTAGTAACCAGTTTTGAAAAAAAATTGAGTTTTAACAAAAATGGACCACCATTTAGGATCCGCCATTTTGAATTTTTAAAATCTGTCTTCAGATTCGTATTCAGCGACCCCAAAAACCCCCGAGTAATTAGTTTTGAGAAAAAAATTGAGTTTTAACAAAAATCGACCACCATTTTGGATCCGCCATTTTGAATTTTTAAAATCTGACTTCAGATTCGTATTCTACGACCCCGAAAACCCCCTAGTAGCAAGTTTTGAGGAAAAATATTAAATTTTTAAAAATCGACCACCATTTTGGGTCCGCCATTTTGAATTTTTAAAATCTGACTTCAGATTCGTATTCAGCGACCCCAAAAATGCTTAAAAGAGTATTTTTTGATTCAATTTAATTAATTTTGGAAATTTTATTCATGTTTGTATTTGTCGAATCGTGACATTGATGACTTATATCACATCTACAGGCGCCGCCATATTGAATTTCTAAAATCGCCCAACTGCTTTCGAAAGTACAAGAGTGTACAAGTTTTTTCAGCCCTTAAACGATTTTTTTTATCAAGCCAATTTTTGGCTAGAGCTCTGTTCCGTTTGACGTGGAACGTCCCATATATATATATAATTTGATATATATTTATATTTATTTAGGTATATATTTATAAAAGCATTCATTGTACGCGCGAAAGAGTACGCTCCATGAGCGCGTGACTTTTACATTATACCCCATTTTTCGATATGTTACCGAAGTTTCCAACCAAAATTATAGTTTCCACTGCATTTCTACACATATGTACTGCAAGAATATGCAGTTTTTATAAAATCGATTTTCCTGAAAAAAGATGTGGTACTAACCCCTCACCACTTTTATAAAAATCTTCGAAAAATTATAACTTTCTGCTTTCTAACATGGGAAAGAGCATCTTAAACTATTCCAATTGACAAAGAAATAAAAAATGATTTATTACCCAAGGTCTCTTTTTGTAGATCATGTCACATGTATTGAATTATTATGCTTACTTGATTCACTTCAGTTTGGTTTAAAATAGGCACAGTTTCTATCGTATTATCATTGACAGCAGGAGGAATTATTATTTCTTCAGTTATTTTTTGCTGAAAGTAAAATGCAATTAAACAACGCATGTGTATACGGTTTTTGGATTCTTAGAATTTTTAAAAGATGCTGAAACATTTAGTTAACGAAGAAGTATCTAAAACCCATACAAAATTAATGTTATTATGTAACCTGCTTCAGGCACGCTTTCCTATTAAGATGTAGGGTTCAGTTTTATGTGAAATTCTAGTTAAATTATTAAAAAATTTAATTCGTTTTCAGATGATTTTCAATAAAGGAAGTAATAAGAATACATCTAACATTCGATTCTATTCAAAGAAACCACAATTGTGGTTATTATTTACAATTTGTTTAAAATATAAAATCTATAAGCAATCCAAGAACATTTTCCATGAGGAAAAGCACTTCATTTTTCTACACGAATATCCCTATGTATGCAAGTATAACGTCCGACTATATATTTTTAAGTTTCTACTTGTGAATATCTATTCTTCTCAGAAATAATCGATTACAAATTTACTTGTAATTTATTTATAACACAGATGAGTAATTGTGTTTAAAACTATGCTTGCATTATTTAAAAAAGCGGCGAAACTACTCGCGTCAGCTGTTTTTATTTCCTCTTGTCGGACAACCTTCTGTACATCCTGAAATCAATTTTAACTTATACTTCTTCAAGTATTAGATTCATATTACATTAAATAAGAATTATGTTATAGTAAGATTAGTCCAAATGAGAATTAGATTAAATATATTTATATACACTACCGTCCGAAATTGTGCGAACTCTGCTTTTTCAACAACTATAAAACTGTTCAAATCTTCAAAAATATTAAAACTAAAATTTTTTCCTCTTTATTTTACACTACCGTCCGAAATTGTCCGCACTCTGCTTTTTCAACAACTATAAAACTGTTCAAATCTTCAAAAATATTAAAACTACAATTTTTTCCTCTTTATTTTATTAAAGCTAATAAAATTCTGAAAGAAATGACACCTTGACAAAGAGAATATGTTAATTTTTCAATTAGATATCAAAGAAAAACCCAATTTTCAATGTTTTTACTATTTTTTTTATTTCTCTGGCAAAAATTAATATTTTTAAACGTTCTTAGGCTCATTGAAATCGTATTTTGTTATGCAATTCAAATTATATAAAACAATTCATGTACACATTCTTCGCTAGCGTATGCAAACCCTGAAAGTTGGCTCATGAAATGTCAAAAAATTGTGATTAATATTTATATGACAAAAAATGATCAGTAAAATGTATAAATCTTAAATTTACTTACATAAATCAGAGAAGTTTAGAATGATATATTTACTTAATTTTTAAACATTATATTTTATTGTAGAATTAAATTTAAATTTTTTGACATTTTATGAGCCAACTTTCACGGTTTGCATACGCTAGCGAAGAATGTGTACATGAATTGTTTTATATAATTTGAATTGCATAACAAAATACGATTTCAATGAGCCTAAGAACGTTTAAAAATATTAATTTTTGCCAGAGAAATAAAAAAAATAGTAAAAACATTGAAAATTGGGTTTTTCTTAGATATCTAATTGAAAAATTAACACATTCTCTTTGTCAAGGTATCATTTCTTTCAGAATTTTATTAGCTTTAATAAAATAAAGAGGACAAAATTTTAGTTTTAATATTTTTGAAGATTTGAACAGTTTTATAGTTGTTGAAAAAGCAGAGTTCGCACAATTTCGGACGGTAGTGTATTAAAGTTAATAAAATTCTGAAAGAAATTACACCTTGACAAAGAGAATATGTTAATTTTTCAATTAGATATCTAAGAAAAACCCAATTTTCAATGTTTTTACTATTTTTTTTATTTCTCTGGCAAAAATTAATATTTTTAAACGTTCTTAGGCTCATTGAAATCGTATTTTGTTATGCAATTCAAATTATATAAAACAATTCATGTACACATTCTTCCCTAGCGTATGCAAACCGTGAAAGTTGGCTCATAAAATGTCAAAAAATTGTGATTAATATTTATATGACAAAAAATGATCAGTAAAATGTATAAATCTTAAATTTACTTACATAAATCAGAGAAGTTTAGAATGATATATTTACTTGATTTTTAAACATTATATTTTATTGTAGAATTAAATTTAAATTTATTGACATTTTATGAGCCAACTTTCACGGTTTGCATACGCTAGGGAAGAATGTGTACATGAATTGTTTTATATAATTTGAATTGCATAACAAAATACGATTTCAATGAGCCTAAGAACGTTTAAAAATATTAATTTTTGACAAAGAAATAAAAAAAATAGTAAAAACATTGAAAATTGGGTTTTTCTTAGATATCTAATTGAAAAATTAACATATTCTCTTTGTCAAGGTGTCATTTCTTTCAGAATTTTATTAACTTTAATAAAATAAAGAGGACAAAATTTTAGTTTTAATATTTTTGAAGATTTGAACAGTTTTATAGTTGTTGAAAAAGCAGAGTTCGCACAATTTCGGACGGTAGTGTATGAAGTTAGTGACTGTTATAATTTATAAATAAGATTTATAAAAAGGCTTTATGGTCAAAAAAGTTATTTACACATTATAAAAATAAATTATTGTGTTGATGTTTCGGGTGACAACTAAAATTTAAATTTGAATCTCAAAAACTGTCATTGTTGAGAATCAGAACTAATTTTATCACTATTAGTATTTATTCCGAGTGGTATGTTATTTAATTTTACTAGCGTCGTATCATCTCTCACTAACATTTGCTCGGTTGAAAATTGTAATTCTTATTGTTTACTTATATCAGTTCCGTCATATGTAGTTATTTTATTTTTTAAATTGAGATTATATTAATTTATTATCTTTAAATTTTATATTTCTTAGAACTTTTTTAATACTTTTCATAAATAAATAATTTATTCTAACGAATATAATGAGTCGTTTCAAAGAGTTGGTACCGACCCGAAACGTCGACACAATAATTTATTTTTATAATAAATAAATAATTTTTTTTACCGATAAGCCTTTTTATAAATCATATTAATATATTAAATGAAATTTAGACAACAAAAGAATTAGGTCAAATAAATATGTAATACCGTAAGACGGGGTTATTTCGCTCATTGCGGATAAATTTGCTCACCAAGTTATCAGCTTCAAATTATCTTTAAACTCAATTTTGCTACTTCCATGGACAAATTCCATATTTTAATTTTGGTAATAACAGTATCAAATTTAAGTTTAAAACTATTTTAAAGCAGATAACTTGGTGAGCGAAGTTACCCACAATGAGCAAAATAAACCTCGTCCTGGAGTATATATTTGACATAATTTTTTTTATTTGTCCTAATATTATTAGGTCAAGTAAAAATTACATCAAAATTAACCCTTATTTTGCATTTTGACCCACTTCTTCCGGTTTAAAATGTTTTTTTTAATTCTTTTTATTTGACAAATTAAATTTTAAATTGAAATTTGAAATGAAAAAAAAAATTTTCAACTCTATTATCCACATTTTCTTGCAAACCCATGGTTTTTTTCTTTTTTATATTTATATGAAATGTTGGAAAAAATTTAAAAAAAAGAAATTATGTTAAAAATTTATAAATAAGAATTTATTTTAAAAAAAGTTAATTTTTTTTAATTTTCTCGGCATTGAAAAGTACATGAAACCCCCTACAAAAAACCCTACTAACAAATTAAAATTCCAAAAAATAATACAGAAAATTACAAGGTATTAAAATAAGCTGCAACGCTTATTATTTTAATACCAAAATGGATTAAAATAAGCAAAATTGAATTAAAATAATAAGCGTTGCAGCTTATTTTAATGCCTTTTAATTTTTTGTGAATGAGTGATTCTCCGCGTACCGCACGATGGGGTTTTTTGAAACTTTAAAAATATTTTTTCATCGAAATGATAAATACCACTAAATATTTTTGAAGATAAAGTATCAAAAAATAAATATTCATGGTCGGCCGAAAAATTTTTTTATAATTTTTGTTTAACAAATTTAAAAAAATTCTTTGCTTTTTAAATTCTATAAAATATTTGAAATTTTATTTAAAAGGTTTATGGAAATTTTTGAGGTAATTCACAAATATATATATATTAGCGCGAACGACAATTAAAAATTTTGATTTCGGTAATTTACGGAAATTTTATAGGAAACTTATGGAAACTTTGTCTAAAATTCACAAAAATATGTAAAGCATAAATCACAATTAAAAATTTTAATTTCGGTAATTTATGGAAATTTATGCGGTAATTTATGGAAATTTATACGGTAATTTACATAAATTTATTTGTAAATTTTCCGGAGCTATGATAGTTTAAAATAAATATTTTTAATCTCGTTTGTGATTCTGATGCCGGTGGGGACGCAGTGGTTGGTGGAACCGGCGTTAATAATTTTTTTTTCTTTGAGAAAATTATTACTTATTTATTTTTAATCGGTTTCATTTGTTTCATATTTATATAGACTGCACCCCGTGTAGAAAATGAAAACTGGTCCTACCTTGGTCCTATCTATTTTGCCCCATTATTAACTATGTCCAAGTTCGAACCCTACGGGAATCGAACCCCAGACGCATGACCTAAATAACGCTTTAACGACCGCGGCTACCTAACATAAATGGATATTTTTATTTGATTTTCTATATAAATTTCCACTTTCACTATAAGTGTTTTATGTTGTCAAATAATGGATTTAAAACATTATACTGCAATGTTAATTTGTTTAAACAATTTATTGTTATTTATATTCACATTTTTTGTAGTGCACCAAGAAAGATGCAGTTTTTTCCAAATTTTACAATTTATCAAATCGAATATAAAGCCAAAATAGATTTGATGTAAAATTATTAATACAACAATTGTTTAAACAATTTATTGTTGTTATTTATTAACTTTTTTGTAGTGCACCTAGGAAGATGCAGATTTTTCCGAATTTTACAATAGAACAAATAATGCATTTTTCTAGGAAAATTGTGAAAAATGTTAATAAATAGAAAAAATTATTTATTTAAACAATTTATCATAATAGTTGTTGCAAATTTAATTCTATATTTTACTTTATTTA